TATATATATTATATATATATATATATATATATATATATATATATATATCTGCAGAGCGAAATGTAGCGCTGCATCACCGCTCTGAAATCGCGTGTGAAGCCGACCAGCTGTTGCTGGCAGGGCGCGGATAATTCCCCCACAGCACGGCCTTATCGGCTTGTCGCTCCGTCATCGTCATCGTCCCGCGTTATCGTCATCGTTCCCCTGAAGCCCTGCCTTCTGCTGAATCCATGCCTTGAGGGACGATGACGATGGCTGGGCGGCGACGCGGGACGATGACGATGACGGCGACGCGGGACGAGGACGATGACGGCGACGCGGGACGATGACGATGACGGCGACGCGGCCCTATCTTATCCCTGCTCCTATCCTATCCCTGTTCGATTGCGATTCGTCCTCTAGCGTTCACGTTTCGTCACATTGCGTTGCACAGCAGCCGCTCGTGAATCTCCCCCTCCCCCTGCCTTCCCTGTTCCTATCCTATCCCTGTTCCTATCCTAGCCCTGTTCCAATCTCTGTTCCTATTCTATCCCTGTTCCTATCCTAGCCCTGTTCCTATCTTACCCTGTTCCTATCCAATCTCTGTTCCTATCCTATATAGGAACAGGGCTAAGATAGGAACAGGGCTAGGATAGGAACAGGGCTAGGATAGGAACAGGGCTAGGATAGGAACAGGGCTAGGATATGAACAGGGATAGGATATGAACAGGGCTAGGATAGGAACAGGGATAGGATAGGAACAGGGCTAGGATAGGAACAGAGATTGGATAGGAACAGGGCTAGGATAGGAACAGGGATAGGATAAGAACAGGGATAGGAGTAGATCACCATGGTATGGTGGTTCCGCTAGGATGTGGCGTAGCGCGGCGCAAATACTGCAGACGTGCGACGTACGCAGGAGAAGAAGCTGCCGCGTAGAGGAATATACTGAGCAGAGAAAGATGCTGAGAAGCCGAAGATACCTAGCAGAGGAAGATTCTGTGTAGAAGACGTTGAGCAGAGAAAGAAGATGTGAAGAGGAAGAAGCTGAGCAGAAAGAGAAGATGCTGTATACAGGAAGATGATGAACGGAAGATGCTGTGAAGATGAAGATTCTGTTAAGGTGAATATGCTGCACAGAGAGAGATGCTGTATAGAGGAAGATGATGAACAGCTGAGAATACCGCATTAAGGAAGCATGTTATGCAGACGAGAATGTCGTGCAAAGGAAGATCACCAGTAGAGAAAGATTCTATCAGAGGAAGATTCTATCAAAGGAAGATGTTGTCAGAGGAAGATACTGTCAGAAGATGATTCTATCAGAGGAAGATACTATTAGAAGATGATTCTATCAGAGTAAGATTCTGACAGAGGAAGATTCTGACATAGGAAGATGCTGACAGAGGAAGATTCTGACAGAGAAAGATTCGGACAGAGGAAGATACTATCAGAAGATGATTCTATCAGAGGAAGATACTATCAAGAAGATTCTATCAGAGGAAGATACTGACAGAGGAAGATTCTGACATAGGAAGATTCTGACATAGGAAGATTCTGACAGAGAAAGATTCGGACAGAGGAAGATACTATCAGAAGATGATTCTATCAGAGGAAGATACTATCAGAAGAAGATTCTATCAGAGGAAGATACTATCAAGAAGATTCTATCAGAGGAAGATACTGACAGAGGGAGATTCTGACATAGGAAGATTCTGACATAGGAAGATTCTGACAGAGAAAGATACTATCAGAAGATGATTCTATCAGAGGAAGATACTATCAGAAGATGATTCTATCAGAGTAAAATTCTGACAGAGGAAGATGCTGACAGAGGAAGCTGCTGACAGAGGAAGATGCTGACAGAGAAAGATTCTGACAGAGGGAGATACTGTCAGAGGAAGATTCTGACAGAGGAATATTCTGACAGAAGAAGATACTGTCAAAGGAAGACGCTGTACAGAGTAAGATGCTGTCAGAAGAGAAGCTGCACAGAGGAAGATCGTATGCAGACGCTGCGTCACGGGGGAATACGCTGAGTAGGGATAGATGTCAGGGTCAGCGAACGCTGTACAGGGAGATGTACGGAGGCGTGACGAAAGCGAAAGTCACGACAGAGAGAGAGAGAAAATGCAGCGAGCCGGGGAGGGGGGGGGGTACAGGGGAATATTCGAGCTATGTGCGAACGCTGCTGCGACGACGACGAAGAACATTCATAGCGATCGAACTCCGCTCGTAAAACTTTCGTAAACACCGCGTCGTCGCTGCCTCCACCGCCGCCTCCGCCGCTACCGCCGCCGCCGCCGCCTCCGTCGCTGCCTCCACCGCACGCGTGTATGTACAGTGCTGCTCGCAATCGAATACGGCGCACGCGAGATGACCAAGACGAGATAACCGCCGAGATAATCAGTGGAGATAACCAGACGAGATAACCAGTAGAGATAACCAATCGAGATAACCAGTCGAGATACCCAGCCGAAACATCCAGCCCAGAGAACCAGCCGAGATAATCAGTAGAGATAACCAGCCGAGATAACCAGGAGAGATAACCAGTCGAGATACCCAGCCGAGATAACCAGTAGAGATAGCCAGCAGAGATAACCAGAGAAGAGATAATCAGATGAGATAACCAGGCGAGATAATCAGACTAGATAATCGCAGAGATAACCAGACNACTTTTAATAGAAAACCACTGCACATACATGCATGGCAATGTTTCCTCTCCATCACACAAACTTGACAAGAAGATGGGTTCGAATTGCCAAAACAAGAAAAGTAAATCTATTTACATATTAGCGACTAGATGTAAACAGTACATACATAGACAAGATGAACAGGCAGGTCAGTTAGGAGTCATACAGTTAAAATACTATCAAACCTGGGTCAACAGGTTCAACATACATGTACCAGTAATTTGCATTACCTCTGACTAGTACCAGTAATTTACCTTCGACTAGGAATGTCCCTTCAGCAGAAAATATATTCCACAGTCAAAATTCACACACTATCTATGTGCCGGCAATGTAGTAGGCCCCCTAGATAATAGGAAAGACATACTCCTTCAAAACAAAAAGAGCTCCGAGACCCGTTAGATATTGCATTCACAAGTGGTTACCGGTATTAACAAAGTATTGCTTAACGATGTTGAATGGTGTGGCACATGACAAATTTTAGGTGGGGAACAGATCATTGTGTACATTACTCAACACAGAACATGCATTTATAGTCCATCTTCACCTCTTCTTTTCATATACTATAACTCCTATGCACACATTGTGGAACCATCTGTCACATGCATCACACTGGATCCCAGCCAAATTTGTCACTGCACTAAAGCTTCGAAATCAATATCGAGATGTGACAAACGATTCTCATTGTTGTCTGGCATTGCACAAAGAATCTTGTGCCTAATACCATATTTCAGGTCCATACTTGCAGTGGACAATTGCCTCATTACAAGCAGATTGAAGCATGGTGGAGAAGAGGACTCCTGCATTCTGAAAAGGAGATTTGAACATAAGAAAATGGTGACATATGAAGTATATAATCAGTAAGGGGAGCTATTTTACCAATCGAGGTGAGCAGTAATTTAGTTCTAGAGCAATGCAAAACAGTTCTACTGGTAGACCCATAATGTGGACTTCCCAGATTTTGGAATTGGCGATTACTCATTGAAATTTTCACTGCATTTACGCATTTTAACCCCCCCCCCCGCCTCGATCTTTCCACGACCTGATATAGAAGTGCTATTCGAGCCATGCAGAAACAAATCTCCCACCACTGTCTCCGTCTGTTTGCTTGTTGCTTGGGTATCGTCAACGTGATGGTGTCCATCTCTCTGGTTGTTCCACGAGGCAAGCCATGAGACAACCTATAAAGAGAAGAAACGGCACAAAAACTTATTTAGAAGGTAAAAAAATTCACTGAGAAAATTCTTCAGGACTTTGGCCAACCTTACTCCTATAAATTTCTAAGACGGCTTAATAACATTGATTTGGTGATAGACGCACCACATGATCGCAAAATTGTCTCACCTNCCTGAAGGCTTCGAACAAAATGGAATATCACAAACAATCTCATTGTTGTCCTTGGCATTGAAAAGAATCTTGCCTAATACATATTTGCGGAACATCTTGCAGTGTAATTGCCTCATTACACAGATTGGAACACGGTGGAGAAGAGACTGCATTCTGAAAAGGAGTTTGAGCATGAGAAAATGGTGCACATATGTGACCGGTGATAGCAAAATCAGTCGGAAGTCGCACAAGTTCATTTCGCGTAATAGCCCATTGAAGGCATTAACACTAAAAATATCTATTTCTAATGTACACATTATTATTATACTTTAGAATGTTTTCTAACACCTAGTGTGGTCAATTCCATCAAATCAAGATTTAAAAGCATTTAAATTTGTGATTTAAATAGAACTATTATGTTAAATTAAGCCGAAAAAGTTGAAACAAAGCCCTTTTTTCTATCGCGCAATGATCCACCATTTCTCAGCCGATTTCCCTGATTTTCACATCTACATTTAGATCAGCCTTGGGCGGAGCTGCGTATTAATACAGGTTTAGTGTATGACGTCGTCTTTGACCAATTAAATGCTCTAAAAGACCTGTAAACATAGTTCCTTTGTTGCTATACGTCACGTCATTTTTAGTAAAAGCGCTTCCGTGATTGGCTGAAGTCACGCTCATGTTCGAAAGCGATCGTAAACAAAGGAATTATAAAAATTGTCGCGTTAAAGAGGACCTGCAATATCTATTTTTATGCGATTATATCTAATAATTTTGGTATATGTTGGGGAGAAATGTCTATATTTCACGATAGCATGCATAATTCATCTGTAACACGGTCAGCTGGCTCACTATTACACATTTCCGAAGATTGCGTTTGAAAACGGCGCCGAATTTCCCAGCGGCGGATGTGACGTCATTTGAAGAACATGTCTGACACGAACGTAGAAAGTAACATAGCGCAGAGCGATTTTTTGACAGAATCAGCAAGTGAAAGTCATGATAATGAAGATATTGAGTTCTCTGAGACTGGTGAAGCTAGTATGGAAGGAGAAGTAGTGATTGGCCCACATATGTATGAGCCAGATGCATCGGATGAGGAAGTAAACGACGTCGCAGGAAACGTTGAAATAGTGACTAGTGTGAGACTAAACGTCGATTGCCTGAGTGAATGGTAAGCATAATTTTTACATGTTTAGTGAATTACTGAGAAGTTTTCAGAAGAATGATAGCCTAATGTACCTGTAGTACTGAAACTATAATACTTTTGTAGTGACTACTCAGTAACTGACTAGTAGCATGCCCTACTAGTGGCAAACTGTTAGTTACACCTCGCTGTACAATCGTAACAATGGCGATGACTCCAGCTTGTTGACGTGTCACGTTGTCATGTGCAAGCTAGATCAAAAAGCCGTCGGTCAGCGGTGGGTGTGTACTAGTCTAACTTGTCTTGTGGCCGTTGTTAAGCTATAGTATGGGCTCAAGTCTGAAGTATTATTTATGCACCCTCTATATTTAGTTATTGCAAATTAGCAGTTGTAATGTTTAGCTGTTAATTTATAGTTTCTATTATTCAAGCGGCACACGTTGCTCAAATGTACATTTCGTAGCGCCCTTTGCTTAGTCTACATATCTGCTGTACTCGTCTATCTACCTACTGTTGCTGAGAGGGTCTATGTCCCCGGGACTGCCGGAACGTACACTGGTACTATTAATATGCCGAACCGTACCTCGTCTACTCCACTAACGAGTCTAGGGAGTCGCTAGGCCTACTCCCTAATCGAACCCTAACCCTAATCCTAACCTAACCTAACCCGACCAGGCTGTGTGACTAACGTCAATACACCTAGCAAAATCTAACCTAGCATACCGTTTCTTGGAGCTAACCCTAACCAATATCAAATAGTGACCAGGGTACGTTCCGGTAGTGACGACGTCGTAAGCCCGAGGGTACGTTCCGGCAGTACCCTGGGTGGACATAGACCCTATGAGCCCTACTGTTGATGTTACTACTATAAAAACGTGGTGCTTAAAATAAAATGAAGCACATCTGGCCAATATGAATATTTTGGAAGTCTTAAATAACAATTCTCAAACCACCATCAACCCTGTTTTTGTAGAGTTCTGTCTAGAAACAATTTTTCATTGTATGTAAATTTTCTGTAAACATAAGGAACCAGTAATCTATATAGCTATTGGAAACGATAAAGCATTATCAATATGAACTATAAATTATTATAATGTGCAATGCATTGCATGCATAAAAAATTGCATGTACGTGTTACACATATAAAGTACCAAGCATGTGTAAGCAAGTAACTAAAACATGTGTAAAACTACATGTATACACAGGCTTGATTTGCAGTCTTAAATAAGACTAGGTGTCGGTAAACTATTTCTGAAACAATGCTTACTTACCTTGTCTGTGATCACACAATACACTATATGCATCGCGATTATGAAAAAATAGTACATTGTCAAGATATTACCTGGAGGAGCTAGAAACAGTAGTGCCTAAACAACGCTTTGTGTAACACCAATAGGTGTTACTTTTAGGCTACAAAATAGCATCGACAAAATAACTGGTTTTCAGAGAAAAAATCGCAGAAATAAAAAAAGTTGTTATAATGGAAGACAAAGTTGTGTCGTTCACGTAGAAAAGATACTCCGATATGTGCTATACAGACAGCATGTGCATACCGGTATCGAGTACGCTTTCGAAAATTGATAGGTACCAGTAAATCAGTATACCAATGCTACCGATTTGATATTTTAATAACACCATATCTTGTTTTTAACAGGTGTGTTTGCTTCAACTGCCAAACAATGACCACGGCAAGAAAATGTGTGTGCTGCGCAGAAATCCCAGAGGTGGTTGCTAAAATAGCAGAAGCTCAGATGACAAATGTAAAATGCATCACGGATCACCCTGGTATGCAAGTCGTGTGCCTTGACCCATGGGCCTGCAGGTTGCATGGTTTGCCTATCGACAGCAATACCGCGGTAATGCATTTGAGGGACCTATGCATGCAAAGTACCGCCACATTGCATACCGACAGCTAGTTCATTGGTGCTTTGGATACTTGGGGAGAGACACTATGGTGGTTTTACCAGCATGTGCCATATCTTGTATCCGCGCGCACTTTCCACCACCAGACGAGAAGCCATGCCTTTTCAAGGGATTCCAGCCAGCAGCACACCAGCACTTACCACACCTGAACTAGTACACACCCACCGCTGACCGACGGATTTTGGATCTAGCTTCAACATGACAACGACAACAAGCTTGAGTCAATCACCATTGTACAGCAAAGTGTAGCTAACAGTTTGGGTATTTATATTCACAGAAACGTAACTAACTGTCGTTTGGCAATATGTATTGCAATCACATGCACTAATTCACAGCCAAAAAACTTTTGCACTAAGCATTACATTTATTCCTTTAATCTCCAGATCATTACCCATTTTTTAATGAACAACTGTTGTGACAGAATTGTGATGAAATTTGCAAGTAAAAGTAACACAACGTTAACAACATTGTTTTGTTATTATTTTAATATTTGTAAAAACAGTATAAGCACAAATAACAGGATCAAACGTAATAATTGCACAAGTTACATGACTTCCGGATCAATAGTAATAGCATAATTTTAGAACTTTCTCGGATCAAACATGATAGCATAAATTTTAAGACGTCCCGGATCAAAAGTAATAGCATAATTTTAGAACTTTCCCGGATCAAACATCATAGCATAAATTTTAAGACGTCCCGGTTGAAAAGTAATAGCATAATTTTAGAACTTTCCCGGATCAAACATAGCATAAATTTTAAGACGTCCCGGATCAAAAGTAATAGCATATTTCTAGGACTTTCCCGGATTAAAAGTGTTAACATAAATTTTAAGATGTCCCGAAATAAAATGTAACAGCATAATATCAGTACTTTCCAGGACCGAATATAATAGTAGCATAATTCTTGGATTTCCCCTGTCCATGTCTTATAATTGCACAGTCCCCTACATATCTGTGGGTTTAAATCGTTTTTTTTGTTGCTTAATGATGTCTATTTTATCTGGCTTAGCATATTCTGCAGCAAGTGGCGGAGGCTCTTGGGGGATGCTCCGTTTCAGAGTGGCCAGTTCATGATACACCATTTGAAAGCACTTTTCAACATAACCTGGAAACAGGCAAACGTGTGCAAAACTGTGTTAAAAAAACACAAAGTTAGACTAAATCGGAAAAAAGCTTTATTGTGCGTGTGTCTGTAACATATAATCCATGAAGTAAACATTGTGTAAGAAAAAGATACTATGGCTATTTATCTATGCTGACAACTGCAAAATAATCACTGTGTACATACATACCATATGTTTCTTTGACTCTAACAGGGCGCAGAGAGTATCCCCAGACTTGTATTTCGGGAACGCAACTTTGTACCTGTGTTCGCCTTCTTTCGTTGTTGCTGTTGGCCGGCCTGCATTTTCGTTGTAATGCAGCGCAGCAAGAGTGATTCTACAAATGCAAATGATCGATGCTTTGAAGCAACCTAAAAAGTACACTGATCTGGTTTCATCACTTAGTGATCTGAAAATAGTTCGTTTTGAGATGTTTGCTCATAGAACATTTCGTTCTTAACAAGAGCAGTCATAAATTGTAATCACCTGCTAACCATTCCTGTGTGTGAGAACTTGTACATTTTGGGGGCAAACTGGTTAACCAGGCTGTGGTAGGATTCGACCCCACTGGTCTGGCCAATAGACGACATCTTCATGATGTCATTTATGAACATCGTTTTTGTAATTGGGTCCACCAGCTGTTCACATGCTTCACTTCCTTTAAAAAAACATATTAGGGTATGGCTTTGTAATTAGGTGATGAGGTACGGTATGAGAGTATGGTGTAACCGAAAAGGACGAATCAAGTTTTTATATCAACAATTCCAACAAGATTGGCACAAAACGCAACAATTAGGGTATTTTTATTTATGTAGTAGGTAACACCTGACAGCAGGTTTGCTGGATGAAGGGTGGACAGGTGGTGGTTAATAAGAGCAGTGTTCACTCATTCACATTCCTGCCAAATCAATTAGTCGTAAAAGTAGGTAATTTGATACTCATCCAGAGACCAAACGGGGATGATGTTACCATAATATAAAAAAATGGGTAATTCCAATCTGTTTTGTTATCAGTGAACAACAGCAGAAGAACACGATATACATTGTTTTCCGTATTTATGGTTACTGACCTGGTTTAAGCCATTTCTTCTGCTTGGTGAGTGGAGGATGTGAGCACTTGTCATGTCTGTTTTGGATGTGGTCGACACAGGCCAGCCATTTCTCTTTAATTTCCTCCCCATCTTTTGAGGATAGGGCACACCAGTATAGATGGCATTTCAAGCTCTGAATCCAGTCCTTAATAGCCCCAAGATTCTGTCTCCTGGATAGCGCTTCCATTTTTTTGGTCATTCCTTCGCACACAAAATAAACAGTGATTAACTGTAGAAATTAACTATTTAAGTAGGGAGTCCGTACCCTCAAAAAGAGAGAGTCCGCAGCAAAATGAGGGAGTCTGCAATCTAAAGTTCAAAACTAAAATATTAACAATAACGCGTTCGACATTGCAGGACATTTGCGGTGCACGTCTGCTAAATTTTCTTGGGGACATTTGCTGGAAAAATACGATAATTCCGCGAGGCAATGCTGTGGAACGAACTAGTTAGTGCATATAGCAGAATTTTCAGGGAGTCACACGGACTCCTGAATATGTAAAATCAGGGAGTCCGAAAATAAATTATTTGACTCCGGACTCCCGTTAGTTCCGCACCCTGTAGCGGATTTGCTATAGCAGATGAGAAATAAATAGGTTTAACCGGTCCACCTATTTACAAAATTGTCACTCCTACTCTCTAAACAATAATATATATTGTAACAAACCTAACTGTTGCTTTTACCTTTAACAATGTGCCAGCAGTCAAAGCAATGTTTGATGGCCCAGTTTTCTCGTACCCACTTGGCAATTTGTCTGTGCCTGTCGCTTATAAATGCAGTGGTGTTGAATGCAGATAATTCCTGCCGACATCGCTTCAGACCTTCTAATTCCATGTGGTAACTGCCTTTGGTCTCATTGCTCTGAAAAGAGCAAATTAACCAGAACAGTTCAAGTTATAAACCAAATTGCTGAAGCACGAAGTAATACGTAGATGAATCTCACAAGACAAAATTTACCAAATATACTCAAAAATATTTGCTCAACAAAGATTTGCCAAAAAATAATGAAGTGTCGAAGTGATCAGAAACTTAAATTTTCTTTGTACGGATGTTTTCAGATTTTGAGCGGATCTGTTGGTTTATGAAATAACAAATCTGTATGGAGACCTGAAACTCGGGTCACTGCAGCCCTGTAAACGCGTTAGCGATGTGCTGCAGCCGCTGGCTGGTTCGGTGGATCGTTACAGCCCTACAAATTAGACTAGTAAGTGACACAGCTATTCAAACAAAATATGTGCAAATTTGATAAATCAATTACCTGGACTAACTGCAATGACAAGATCTTATTGGTGCCAACTTCTAGGAGACAGTAACTTCCAAATTTTGCTGAATGTCCCATAGAGTCACATCTCGCATCTCCAGCCAAGGTTAAGTCCTTTCCTTCGAGTTTTGCAAACAGTTTTTCCTGACTTGCCTTCCATGTTTTTGATACAGCATTATGCAGGTAGTGGCGCTGGTGGTGAAAGAATGTCCGGGCTGCGTGGCATTGGATGTTGAGTAATCTGAAAAATGATCAATTCAAGAGTTATGTGGTAATAAGACTTTCAACTCAACTATAACTTTGTCAGCTTGACCTTCTTCATTCATCTGAGTGATATTTTGCCCCATGTTGTTCACATATGAAAGTTACACGTATATATAGAATTCTTCGTTATAAAAAAATACTTGATAATCTTTCATGTACACGTAGAGTACACATTCCTTGACTTTATATATCAAATAATGGTATGAACTACGTGGTTAAACTGTACTATATGTTGAAACATTTTTACTCATTGCCTGGTATACACTGAATTTCATAAATCAAATCAAATGTATTATCCTCTCACTTGAAAAGTCGTAGAGTTTTGTTCGGAAGGAGACCAGTAAAAGCTATGGCAGCACTGAGCAGAATGTTCAGGAGTGGGATGTTCCTAATCCTGGGTTGGCTGTCCCACAGGTGGGTGTAACTGCAGCTCGGACACACCGTCTTCACAGTTACCATTGACCCACGAACTTTTCTGTAGCGTTTGTTTTCTTGCCTGCACATGATGCATGATGTAAACAGCATCAATAGTGCAGACTGGAAAACAACGTACTTCTTCTGTTTGTGTGGTTGTTCCTTGTCATCATCTCTGAAAGTAATTAATATCCAAATTAAGTAATTAAGTTCCACATATATAGCTTACAGTAGGTCCAAAATCAAAAGTAGTAAAAACAATTGCAATTGCAAGATTTCATGATAACAGACTTGTATCGTGTTCTAATAAAATAAATTGCGTTTTTTCACTTCACGTTAAATTAGTAGACAGTGTAGAAATAAGCTCTTATAATTACATCATTTCCTCAAAGTGCTCGACATCAGGATCTTCAATGGTGTCTGGAAGATATTCGATGTCTTTGTCATCAGCTGGTATATCTGTACTATCTGATTCGCTATCGCTGTGGGGAGTTGGAGTTTGATGTCTAATTTTAGGCTTAGTGGCATGTTGAATTCGAAATGTTGTCTGTGTTCCCCGTGTTTTTTTGTGAATGGCAGGTTTCGTCGATTTTGGTCTCCAAACAAGAGTCTGAGTTTCTAAAATAAAAATGTATCAAATTAAGTTTATAAATTTCAAGGTAGCCGGGGATAACTAGGGGTAATATGGGTGGGGTTTTAAGCTGGTTTATGGGAAAAACCGTTCTAATTCAACTACTCGTGCCAAGCATCCTTGGGGGCCCACATCCCAAATGTTTACATATTTATAACATGGTTTACAAACATATTTAATAAATACTAAACCATGAATATTTGATTTAGCATAATTTAAACCTGCTTTTAACTGAAAAAATGCATTACACCTAGAATCTTGTTTCCCTTCAACACTCTTCAAGATTATCTTTTCTATTACAATTCAATGTACTTACTCTTTGAGAGTGTAGTTAATTTTTCCACATTAAGAGGTATGTCTGCACCCTGCTCTTCGCCTTCGGTCTCAGTCATCTCTTCATCATCATTACTGACATCACTTTGACCAGCACTAGGCCTGCCAGTGTCATAGATGAGCTGTGAAACCACTCTCTTCCTCTCTCGTTTGATGGATGCTGTGCGGGAGCCAGGGGTGCTACCAGATGTAGAAGGCTGCGGTGTTGCTGGTGATGATTGAGGAAGCACGACGTGTATTGATGGAATCACATCGTGTGCTAACCTCAGCCTAGAAAGACGTTATGAATCCATCATTTACTTACTCTACTTCAATACGGATTTAAGACAAATTTATTTCATATAGATCTTTAATAATCTCAACGTCTAAATAGCGTCTAATAGTTATACTAACAACAACGTGCATGATTCAGTAGTATATATAGTATGTTACAATGTCATAATATAAAATATCATATCATACACACACGCACACGCACACAACAGACACGCGCACGCATGCACGCACACACGCACCGGGCTGTGCCACACCACGAATGCACGCGCACACTCAGACACACAGCACGCACCACTGACACACCAGCACAATTGCACGACGCCACACACATAACAGCGCCCACACATACTATATATATATATATATTCGGTATAGTCCCTTGGACTTTGAAGACTATTAGTATTATTTACGAGGTTATGACGTTACACTAGTTCTATATTATGAAGAAACCCCCGGGATACACGGGTACAAAATCACTCTTCAACTAGGCCTAGTACGTGCCTGTTCAGCTCAGCTGGACGCCAGGGCTGGTGTGGCGTGTGCAGCTACGTATAGTATACGTACGGGACAGATACATTATTATTATATAGAGAGGGCACGAAAACTTTCAAACATTGTATAGTCAGCTGCTATATAATCCAGGTATATCTACATCACAGAAAAAGTTTGCTTACTGCTTCGCAAATCCTTGCTGAAAAGCCATGAAGTTAAGGAAGCAGTCCTCCGTGAAGTGCTTCATACACAGCACGCTCGAGTCTGACACCGCCCACTTCGCTCGCTTAGATTGGACAAATGATGTCCATTTCTTTCTCTGATTTTCGTCTTTCGGCCACTTGTATAATCCACTACCTGTGTGCGAGCAATTGGCCGCAACACATCTGCGTGGCATCGTAAAAATTAGATAAATTTGACTCGAAATACAAACTCGCTCGTTCACTTCTATAGTTAGCGTCGCGTAACTAGGCGAGCTGCGTTCTTCAAATGACGTCAGATCCGGAAATTGCCGATGTTTGCCGAACGCGAGTGGATTTTGACAGGTGATGTTTCAAGGGCCATAACTTAATTATGCGCGATTTTTCACGAAAAAAAACAATCAGAATGCCAGACAATTATTATACTCATGTTTATTTATCTATTATTTGTGGTTTTTAGAAAGACATTGCAGATCCTCTTTAAGTTTCATGTGTATTATAGCTTGTTCTTACGTGTTTATTGAGATTATATTATGGAGTTATCCAAAGAACTTGATGTGGCGAGTTCTCTGAACAATTTGCGTTCATGTAATCTTGAATTTGGAGCCAACGCTCAACAGTGGCAGACACTTGTTGAAGATTATTTTTGTGCCCCTACTGGCACTAGTCCTGAATCAGATGAGGAAGTAAGTGATGAGGGTAGTGATGAATGTGAGCTTAATTCCCACAATGAACTTAAAATTGTTGGTCAAAATGAATTAGGCCTAAGTGATATATCTAGTGCCAGTCTAGATGGCGAAGCCGCCAGTATTGATGATGGTGATGTCGAGGATGCCGGCGATGATATTGTTTTTGATGAAATCGCAATCGTAATGGAAAATGTAAGCATCGTAAATCATGAGGACTATGCAGGTGAAACCGAAAAAATTGTCAATTTTACATGTGTTGTAAAGTCTTCAAAAAATAGCTGCTGTCTCAATGATGGCAATCCGTGTTGCACCGCATTGTCGACCGAATTTATGCATGAACTGCGAACAACTATGTCCAGCCTGCCAGCGTATGAAAAGGACTTGATACTGTTAGGCAAACTTAGTTCTGGTATCAATATGAAAGAAACAACCGCATCATCAAAAAGAAAAAGGCAGACACAACGAAAACATCAAAGAACATGTTACTGCGTTGAAGGAACCCGTATCTGCCGAGAGACATTCAAGTTCCTGCACTGCATCAGTCAGGACAAATTGACAGCTTTACTGAAGCACTACAAGGAGCATGGATTGACACCACGCCACAAAAAGTCCGGAGGAAAACAAAAAACTAACGCAAGATTTTTAACGTTTGAAGATGTATCAAGAGTTGTTACCTTCATCGTAAATTTTTCTGAAGTTCATGCGTTAGTACTACCTGGACGAGTACCGGGATTCAAGCGTTTTGACATAAAACTGCTTCCATCGATGTACACCAAAGCAAGTATTTGGCGGCTCTACCAGTCAGCAATGAATGCAGAAGGGTATCGTGCGGTGAAAGTTCATTCCTTTCGGAACTTGTGGCGGTCCCTTGTACCATACATTGTTATGACAAAACCGATGACGGATCTTTGCTGGACATGCCAGAAAAATAATTCGAGGATATACCGAAGCATGAACATACCAGAGGCTGAAAAGTCAGCCGAGCTCTTGAAGCAGCAGGACCATTTGGTCAAAGTAACGCTGGAGCGGACGCTATACCAAGACATGGTAAAGAAAGCCTCTAATACATTCAAGGATAGTGCCATAAAACTAGGGAAGAATGCACCAATGTCTCGGGATATAAAGATGCATTACAGCTTCGATTACGCGCAGCAAGTACACTACCCTAACGACCCATACCAGCCAGGGCCAATGTATTTCCTAGTGCCAAGGAAATGTGGCATCTTTGGTGTTGCTTGTGAAGCGGTGCCACAACAGGTGAATTTTGTCATTGATGAAGCTGTGCTAATATCGAAAGGTGCCAATGCTGTGATAAGCTACCTAGATTATTTTTTTGACCACTACGGCTTCGGTGAAAAAGACTTAGAATTGCACTGTGATAACTGCAGTGGTCAAAATAAAAATAACTTTATGTTGTGGTACCTTGCGTGGCGCATAATTAATGGACTACATCGATCGATTAGCTTGAACTTCTTAGTAGCGGGACATACGAAATTTGCCCCCGATTGGTGTTTTGGGCTTGTTAAACAGAAATACAGGCGTACAATGGTTTCATCGTTGGATAATTTTGTAGATGTCGTAAACAGTAGCACGATAGTGGGGACAAATATTGCCCAGAAAGTTGGAACTTCTTCTGGTGATGTTATTGTCCCATACTATGACTGGAATAAATTCTTGTCGCTGTACTTCAGAACCGTGCCGGGGATTAAGAAGTTTCAACATTTCCGGTTTGATGCAGCACATCCAGGTGAAGTATTCCGGAAGGAATATGCAGATTCGGCTGAGGAAAATTTTCAACTACTAAGAGATGTCAACAACTTGCCCCAAGCATCGAAGCCTGGAACAATACCACCCCCAGGATTATCATACGAAAGGAAACTTTATTTGTTTGACAAAATCAGAGAATTTTGTTCCATTGAGACTCGCGACATTACATGTCCTGCACCTGGTCCAGCTCCTGCTATAGTTAATGATCCTGCTGTAGTTAATGACTTTGTAGCTCGCAAACCAGCAAAGCGTCCTGGGACTCAATTAGATCAGGGTAATCTAGTACCGAAACGTGGTCGTGGTGGACGTGGACGTGGTCGACGCGGTCGTGGAGGAGCTCCAACCTAGTGATTTTGTGAATTTTTGTAAAATCAGATATTAATACATTAATCGGTAGCACGCTGTATAGTTTCATTGTGGAAGTGGTTTACATGAAAACTTGTTTCAAAATTTTTTTTTAATAAAATTTTTAACCACGAAAAAACCTTATTTGTTGTGCATACATTTTTTAAAAAGTTCTAGAATGCATAAAATATGGCGGTGTAATGACCCATAAGACATTCTGGGGCAGTTTGGCACTTATAAACTGATGGTTGCTAAGGACCTTTTCTAATTTAGGTTGTTTAATCTTTAAACGCGATTTTCTCAAAATTGAGTTTTCAGCCTTATGATATTCAAAATGCCATAACTTCGTAACTAATCGACCGATTTACAAAAACTTGATTCCAAATGAAAACTGAAAGTGTCAGCTATATGGCGGCCATAAAAACTCCGTTTTAAAATTTATGTCAATGTGACTGATTTTGCTATCACCGGTCACATATTTCAAATAGAAGCCTTTGTGCATTTTGTGAAGATTGATCTTGTTCAATTACTTAAAAATTCATGCATTTTTGTTTCAGGATATTCCTGATGACGAGGTGGAACTAAACCTTCGATCGAGGGAGCTGGATCCACCGAAACTTGTGATCTTCAAGTCGGAGGACATTATCAAAGGACAGTACATTGTCGCTGATGGAACATATGTGGGCTGCTGTTCCACGAGTGGAAATGTGGCTGTCATTGAGCTCCTCGCTGTGTATTATGTCTTGGACCTCGAGTACCCCAGGTGGTACGCGCAGGTACTGGGCATCCTTCAGACACATCTGTTGAGGCTTCAGCCGTATTTCGGTTTGAAGAGTGTCAAATACAAGAAGTTTTCGACCGAACTGCATCAAACCATGACCGCTTTAGAATCTCGTGATTGAGACAGCAATGGCAATGGGCGCAGTCAAACTTCTGGTCACTCCACTCGTACCTGGACGCCGGCTTCTCCCAAAGCCATCTCTTGCCAGTGAAGCTTGGGCTCAATGCTGCTAACTCCTCGCCCATCGCCATTGATGGAGCGTTTTTCGCCTGCCTACAGGGCCGAGCACCAGATGGCACCAATATCACCGCTCGCTCCATGGTGTACGTCAGCCAAGATGTAACTGATTTCTATTTATCCTACAAGACCATGCTGGATCTAGAAATCATTAACAGGAGCTTTCCCTCAGTTGGTAGCGCTCGGTCGGGCTCAGGAGATGCGCAATCTGCAGCAATGTTTGCCTCATCAACCCAACCCCTGTGCCCTCAACGCTGGCTGCAGTGCACAACACGATGAGAGCATCACATGCAGTTGCCTTCAGCACAGTGCGGTACCTCATGGCCACGGGCAGGAGCTATGGGCCTCATTGCAAGTCTTCGCGAATTCTTTGCAACATTTGGGGTGCCGGAGGAGTTATCCAGCGACAGAGGGCCGGAATTCACCGCCACCACCACTCGCGACTTTCTCTACCGCTGGGGCATCAGCCACCAAGTCTCATCCACTCACCACCCTCAGTCAAATGGGCGGGCGGAAGTGGCCGTGAAGTCAGCAAAGCGTCTCCTACGGTCAAAAGTCGGTCCGACAGGCGTGTTAGACAATGACAGGTTGCTACGTGCGCTGCTGCAGCTCCGCAACACCCCGGATCCGGACTGCAATGTTTCACCAACCCAGATCGTCTTTGGGAAACAGCTGCATGACTCATTCTCTTTCGTGAACCGCCTGGAGAAGTACTCAAACCCTTTTGTCCACCCAGAATGGCAAGAGGCATGGCACTCGAAGGAGGTCGCGCTACCAGCGAGATTCGTGAAGTCGTCTGAGAGCCTGAATGAGCATGTGCGCCCCCTGCGTCCCATACATGACGGCGACAGGTGCTTCATCCAGAATCAAGTGGGGAACTCAAAGTTCACATTTTTTAATACCTTAAAAACAAACTATCTTTATGCATTTTCAGAAAATAATACAAAATTTAATGCGAACAGAATGCAGCCAGAGGCTACAAAAGTTCAGGACTCAGACCCCAAGAAGCGTCCAGGCATTACTGCCCTCAACAGGTCTCATGCTACTAGCAGAGGACATTGTAGGCATTTTTTTCATAATTGTACCAACAGCTATATTAGAATATAACATGTGATTCTAGCATTAAGATGAAAGTAAAGTTGATTTTGTATTCAATACTTCTTGAAGACTTTTTAATGGTTAGAAAACTTCTATATTTTATCAGTTAAATTTGGGTGAGAAATATTGGAGTACCATATTTCCCATCTTATAAGATGCACTTTTTTCTGAAAAATTCCCTCAAAAATCACCCTGCAACTTAGCACCCGAAGATTCCCAATTCTTTTTCCCAAAAATACCTAGCTAATTATAGGGTGCGTCTTACCACTTGTAGCGTCATATTAAATATATTTATAAGTCTCTCTATCATTCCAGGTGCCTGAAACCTACACGTTCATGAAACCTCATATTGTGGGACGCAACGTGCCAAACAAGATGTTTGATTTAGTTATGTGCCCAGAGGTAATTTACCCTAAATAATGCAGCTCTCTTTTTCTTAATTATCCTAAACTTTGGGCTGCTCATCCACTACATGTATAGATACCACAAGTATAAACGTGAGTGTTTTTACTTGCCATTGTGCTTTAATTTCAGTGATGTTATTTTGTTTTGAAATTCTTTTATATAATTATCTTTTTCAGATTCTCGTAAGAATGGTCATGAAGAGAGAAAACATCAACCGGTTGGAGGCAGACCTCCTTGTGCACAAGGCTGGCTCAACTGCAACAAAAACTTCTAAAGCAACATATTAGGAAAATAGATCTCAGTTAAATTTCTGCGCTCCTTCCTCCCGTATTCTGGGATGACCGAGCTGTAGATAGTGTCATGAAGTTGAAGCCATTTGGAATGGACGGTGACGTCATCGGTTGGGGGTCTCCATTGCCTCTTGGAAATTGTCCACGAACTTTTGGATTCTTTCAGGGTCGTTGGTGCAGCAGGCGTTAATGCGTGGACGACCTTTGCTTTTGGCGTGGTGAATCTTCTTAGGCAACAACCTCACTATGCTTGCAACAAGGGAGTGATACCCCTGTTAAAGAAACCGGGCCTTGACCTTGTTTTTAAAAATTACCGCCCAATCAGCAATCTCACCTATGTGTCTAAACTGACGGAGAAAATAGTATTTGATCAAATTTACAATCACATGACCGTGAATGGACTGTTCCCGATCATGCAATCAGCGTACAGGAAACATGATCAAATTTACAATCACATGACCGTGAATGGACTGTTCCCGATCATGCAATCAGCGTACAGGAAACAACACAGCACTGAAACGGCACTGTTAAAAGTTAAGAACGACATATTAATGAACATGAACAACCAGCAAGTTACACTCCTTGTGCTTTTGGATCTCAGTGCTGCCTTCGATACTGTCGATCATGATATTTTACTCAAGAGCCTTCAGTCTAGGATTGGCATTACGGGCAAAGCACTTGACTGGTTTTCATCCTATTTGTCACACAGATCACAGCGCGTGTCAATACGTGGGACTTTATCAGACAGCTTCGACTGCAAGTGGGGTGATCCACAAGGCTGATGCCTAGGGCCTCTTCTCTTCAACATATATGCGTCAAAAATTTTCTCAATATTTGAAGCTCATCTGCCGGATATCCAATGCTATGCTGATGACTCCCAACTGTACATATCTTTCAATCCAAATGCTTCTGCCATCCAGGAACATGCTGTCTCTGTGATGGAAACCTGTATAAAAGATATCCGTGACTGGATGCTTGCTGATCGGCTAATGTTGAACGACGACAAGACGGAATTCCTCATCATAGGTACCCGGCAACAACTGTGCAAAGTGGACATTTATCATATCACTGTCGGGAGTTGAAACATTTCGCCAGTATCCGTGACCAGAAATTTGGGTTGCTGGTTTGATTCGTGGCTAACGATGGAGACTCATGTTTCCAAACTCTGCAGTACTTCATTTTTCCATCTTCATAATATTAGAAGGATCCGAAAGTTTCTTTCTACGGAATCAACAAAAATTCTAATTCACGCATTCATTACTAGTCGCGTTGATTTCTGCAATAGTTTACTTTATGGGCTGCCCCAGGTACAACTGAATAAGTTACAGCTTATCAAGTTACAGATTGAGTCCAAAATGCAGCTGCTCGGCTTATCTGCAATGTATCCAAGTTTGATCATATATCACCTGTTTTATATCATTTGCATTGGCTGCCAGTCTATTTCCGTATAGAGTTTAAAATGCTACTCATCACTTTTAAGGCATTACATTGTATGTCACCAGATTATATCAGGGAATTAGTCACATTAAAGAAACCTAATCGGTACAGTCTGAGCTCTGGTAACCAAATGTTAATTGCGCCACCAGCTGTAAAAACGTTGGCTACACTTGGCGATCGAGCTTTCTCATCAGCTGCCCCAAAATTATGGAATAAGCTACCTAGTCATATTTGATGTGAAAAGTCGCTGGAATCTTTTAAACGCCTAGTCAAAACTCATCTATTTAACATTGCCTTTAACACATAGACATTATATTTTTAGGTGTACATTAGATTTGAGTTATATTTGATTGAAAATGTCATATTATTGTTGCTTTTAGGATCTATATTTTACAATGTTGCAGTCAGCTATTTATAATCAGGAATTGTTATAAGATTGTCCTAATTTAAGTATCTATATTTTACAGTGTTGCAGTAGGCTGTTTAATAATCAGCCTTTGTAATGCGCACGTGAACATATCTGCATGTAACGTGCGCAATATAAATCAATAAATATTATATTATTATTATGCCTCGACGGATTTCAACATGGCAATGGTAATTTTATCGTAAGTGTTAAGAATTGAAAATATTACTGACGCGTCCTCGAGTAATACGTTTATTTTTCAAGCGCCATATGCGATAAGTTGAGGTTGGTAACCGTAACGAGTTCCGCTAAATATGAACCCGAATTGTTTCCAAAAGCTTGTATAACAATAGATGATACCAGCGTTAATATTATCCATACTAGAAGCGTTAGAATGATGGGAGCTAATAATAATGAAAATGTATTTCCAAAGTTATTGTCAATCATACCTGGAGAATGTAAAATAAAATATACTTATCGTTAAATATCCAAAAATATTCTCGTTTACTCATTTCACGAAGTGCATCGTAGAATCAGAAAACTCGTTATACTACACAAAAGACGCTCATTTAATGGAACTGGAACGTATGCTAGCCTATGGCTATAGTTAGCTGCTGATAATTTGTATTGCACATTCGTTTCCACGTATATTTACAATGCATGGTTTGGCAGAGATATTTGTAAACAAGCATACGTGTAGGTTCGGTGTGTATATTATTCGCACTGTTGCACAATGTGTCACGATATGTGCCTGATAATTGTTGTCATACATGTACATGAACAATGTCCACAGTAATAAGCAGCGCATGATATCCCTCTATTAATGTGTGTTATGCATTAAGGTTTGTGACATTACGTTTGTTTGACGTTGTCGGTGTCGTTTGACGTTGTCGTCGTTGTGACATGTCGTTGTGCAAAAGGTTTGTTTCATGACTGTTAACAGTATATGCATTACTATTACATGTAGTTCTTGAGCATTCGGTGTGAAGCAACATGGCACAGGCACCACCCAATAACGTTTATGTTACTCCACCATGTTACTTCAGATTTATGTTCAGCTGAGAGTGGGAACCACGAACAAGAGCCGCAAAGCGTCTGGGCTCATCTGAGGTCTGTTGCTACGATTATAAACGTAAAATTTCAGTCGTGCGTAGTACCACATTTGTTACGCGCAGATATGCAGACACGCAGTTGCGTACACATCATTACTCCTTGAGTTCGCGGCGTTGCCCCCTCGAACTGGGGGGGGGGATGTACAGTTATGGGATATTGTCCATTTAGTTATATTAACGGAGAGAGAGAACTCTGACAGTTATCGTTATACTGTATTGACATTAGTTCCCTTTCATTTGTTTCAGCCTGTCGCTTACAATTTCTAATGATATAAAACTTCATTCAGGAAACGAGTTCTTCTTTATTAATGTCAGTCATCTTTTAGAATAGGCCTATTTGTTTAATTTATTTTGCTGTCTTTACGGCATTTTAGATAATTATTGTTGGTTTTCTGGGAATGCAAAGTTAAGCCCAACTGTTGATTTTAATGGGTAATGAAGCATGCAGGACAATGAACAGGAAGGGGGTACAAGGGGTTGTCTTCCTCCCGCCTCCCTCCCCCTCTCCTCCCACCTCCCTCTCCTGTCCTCCATTTTGTCACCATTTTTATTAAATCTGGAAACTAACCATTTTTATTCGTGTGAACTTTCTCAGAGTTCTCAACATACTTCGAAGGCCAAGGACATCAACGAGAATAAGAAGCTGCTGTTCAATGTTCTGAAAGATCCTGTTGAAGACCAAGTCATCAATCCAGAGGTGCTCTTCACGGCTCTTCTAGTGGAACACAACTTGCCAGTTGTTGTTGCCCAGCATGCTACAAAAATCTTCCCCATGATCTTTCCCGATTCCAAGATAGCCAAGTATAAGTGCTCGTACACAAAGACAGCTACCATCGTTGAATATGCACTAGGTTAGTTTTTTTTTTTGGTCAACAACTTATCAATTAATTGTGTTATTGATAATTAAACACTCAGAAGGGTTAAATTTAAATGTTCTCTGCTGCAGCCTACATCTCATGCTTGTCAATGGGCCAACTTACATATTATTATCCTCCTTGTGTCTCAGGGAATATATTGCTGCTACTTAATGATGGATAGTAAACCAAGTAAAAAGTAAATGTGCATGATTATGATTATTCTTTATTTTTATTAATCACCATGTTTTAATTATTGTCATTACAGAGCCAGAGTCAACTAAGTCGATGCTATCCCACATCAAGGTCCAGAATAAGCCATATACCATCATGATCGACGAGTCCAATGACATCTTTTGCGACAAAGAGTGTGCTATTCTTGTGCGGTACTTTGATGAGCTTCAGGAGAAGACAGTGGTTGCATTCCTTGACATCCCTGTGTGTAATATTGGTACCGCAGCGAATATCTTCAAGTGTGTTGACTTGGCCCTTGTCAAACATGGTTTGAGCTGGGATAATGTAGCAGGGTTCTCACCTGACAACTGCAATGTTATCACTGGTGAGTATGATTGATATGTCCTGCACTTGCCTCCCATTCTCCTCTCTTTGACCTACAAAATGGTATTCACCAAAAACCTGTGTAGTCATTAGACCCGTTATCATGAAACATTTGTAGATTTCTCATACTTCCCAGCATAATTTTATTATTTGATTGAATGAACAGCAACATTTTATTGAATGATTCATATATTTGGTATTCAGTGGTATTGAATATTTAAAATACAATAAATATTTTTTTAACTTGGTTAAATACAGACTTACAAAGGAGATACATAATTACACAAACATCAAACTTTTATTTACAATTATGACATTTTATTCACAGGCAAAAAAACTCAATGCTCTCAGGGGTGAAGGAGAAGATCCCTGAAGTCTACAACGTTGGATGTCCTAGTCATCTGGTTAACATCTGTTGTAAGGCTGCATACAAAGAACTAGACTCATGCGTAGAGACTTTGATTATCGACATTTACTTCTACCTTGATAAGTCGTCAAAGAGAAGAGAAGATCTTAAAGAGTTCCAGGAGTTTGTTGGAGTAGCGGAACAGAGCGTAAAGAAGCACTGCCCAACCCGATGGCTATCACTTGGAAAGGCCCTCAAGTACCTTCTTACCCAGTTCGACGCCTTGAAGTCCTACTTCTCATCAAAGAGTAAAAACCATAAAAGCCGTTCCATCGCAGCAAGGCTGAACAACCCTATGACTCGAGTTTACATTACATTCCTTACAACTGTCATTCCACACTACGACAAGTTTAACCTGATATTCCAACAGAATGCATCCGTGTTGTATCAACTCAAGGACGCTGTTGAATCTCTCCTGCGAAGCCTCGCCATGAAGCTTGTTAAGCCAGAACACATCAGAGATCTAACCTCCATGAAAGACCTAAAGATAGATGATATTGGGCTGCAATTTGACAATGTCAACCTGCGAATTGGTCAAGAAGCTAAACGTTTCCGCGCGACCCTTCGAACTTCCGATCCGCCCGCATCAGCGTAAGGGTTGAGCGTACCTTACCGGAAAAACGCGGCTAGCGACAGCAAGGCGATCACAGGCCAACGAAGGCCCGGCAACGCTAGCGGAGCGGCCACGTCACATTCTGATGTGGGACGGGAAAACGCCACAATAGCATGGATCCTAATAAAGGTGTTGCCTTTCTTCTCAGCTACACTATTCTTTTTCCCCACCCCGCCCCAATTGATGTATATATATATCCAACTCGGAATGAGATTGAACTAAGAGAAGATGTTGGAAGCCAGGTTAGGCAGCTAGCTGCACAAATTGATCAAGGTGATGATGAACAAGAGAACCCCGCAGAGAACCACCCTGCCCAGAGAAGGAAAATAAATCCAGTGGTTAAGTTAGCAAATGGGAAAACAATCTACAAGTCAACCTTAGTTTCCCAGTTAAATGCAAACCCAAAGTTGCCACTAGACCGATTGCGAAGGGTGCATGCTCACACCCCAGGGTTGAAAAAGAAGGGCTTTGAACAAAACCTTGGAAGCTCTGTGTGAATCCATTGTGACTGTGTAATATCTGTCAACGAGGATTTAATATTGGGCCGAGTTCAGAGGATGAGGAAATATGGAATACCTCCAGAATCACTTGACATGCCTGCAACAGAAAAGAAGACCATTGAGCTAATGGTAAATTTGTATGAACCGGATAGACAACTGTATCGATATAGGCCAGAAAGGAAGAAGACTGTGACGTTGACCAACATCATAATGCCAGTGACTGTTCAGTTCAGCAATGATGGAAAATTCAGCCTATCAGTTGAAGACGCTCAAGCTCTACAAGATTTCAAAAGAAGGCAGAATGAAGCCGCACAGGCTACCCAACCAGTTCGCAAAGCCCCACGCCAAATTCAACAAAGACAGAGAGCAATAGCTGATGATGGCCGCAGATGATGGCTGATGGTGGTTGCCGTTTTTCCATACGCTCATGCCCGCCCCAACCCGACGTTTGACCTCACATGCCCCGCCGTCACGGCCGCCTCGACACCGTTCCTTCCCGAGCAGCTCTACCCCACCATCCACCCCACACCACGAACGCCCGACGCCCCTGTCCGTCAACCAACCATTCATAGAGAACGCAAGAAGTCCAACATCAACACAAACACCAGGCATGTCGCAAAAATACACACGCTCACAAAGCGCCGCCAGCGAGGATGCAGCCGCGAGCTGCATCATATCAGAGATGATAGCAGACAAGCGCACTCCAAGAAATGAGGAAATCCAGACCTCTGGAGGTGAGGCTCCCTCCGGAACTCGAGCCAAGATAGCATGCCCCACGACAGGAAAGAAGAGAAGAGTCGCGCAGCCGATTGCAAAATCAGAGTTCGAAACCCTGCTGGAGGGACAAGCATCACTAGCCGCATCGATTAAAGAAATGAGAAAATTAATGTCTCAACAGACCTTGGCGCTACAAATTAATGTCTCAACAGACCTTGGCGCTACAAAGTAGAGTCGACATCATTGCTGCACAATGCACTAAAGCTTCAGCCCAAAGATCTCTATCAGCACCCATGCTGCCTCTAAAACTCTCATCTACAAACCCTGCTCCGACCACCACCCTAACCGGAGGCGGCTCCGCAGGAGGACGATCAGTATCCGACTTAACAGAGTATGAAGGTCCAGATCTACCCTTCTGAGGTCATGGTAATGTGAACATCGAGCTAATCTTTGAAACAAACTAAAAATAAATAAATAAATAAAAAACCGAACAAATGCTGTCGCACTTATAGCTTCCCTAACGTCGAACTGTAACCTTCTTGCACCGTATCGTACCGTCGCATACACCTTCGTGTACTGTCTCATATACGTCACCGTATTGCCTTCAGAGTATAGCATATAGCGTATACCATTACCGGCTTCTCGGACGTTTCGCAGGCACAGCACCTATACCCCTGTGCGCGTTTCTAGGCAGACATCCACCACTTCGCCGCCCCGTCCTACTACGACAGTGTTGCACCATCACTGCGTTCCGTACGTGATGCCGCAACCGTTCCTCGCCACAACTTGTGGCTCCTAACGTTTTGGAACCCCGGGGCAAGTGCAGGACAGCGCAGGCTTCGCACAGCATGCATGCATGCCTCCAAGCTCCAAGCAGGTTGGCAGGCATGAGCTATCGACCGGCGAAGCCGCACGGCATAAGCAATCACCATAAATCATCTGAGTGACATATATTAGTCGAGAATCGCATCTGTGGATGCGAAACTACAAGCTAGGGAGACTCGGCCCTCATCCTCTCAACCGCATAATCCAGTTTTCCGAGCTCGTGATCTTCCCTTGGTTTCCTACACCTATCCCTTCCATACTCCTTATTTCCACCATCTTCACTTCGCCGAGCAACTTCGCGATCCGCGTATTAAGGTACGAGGTTACTTGTATGCGGCTGTAATTTTAGTTTGTATTGTATTGTGTTAGGAATTGTTTGTTTAGGCTGTTAAAGTAATAGAACGCATGGAGAGTAGCTTTTGTAATACAGTGTTCGTGTTATCTATCGACGTGACCAGAAGGCTACCCTTAAGGTGACACTACCTCACACAGGCTAGATCGAGAACCTGGAGAGGGACGCACAGAGCTTCCGTAGACGTGTCCGTGCGTATAGGCCTGTTCAGCTTCTGGATTTTATGCTGATTCGGATGCCAGCCTACTACGAGAGAAGATTGATGGATGTCGTCAATGGCAGATTCGATATGTTCATTTCTAAAAGGTACCTTCCTGGAAATGGAACGATAAACTCGGATATGATTTCTAGAGCAGAGGAAAGTGGGGATGTACTGTGTCAGGATTGAAAGTAATTGTGATCAGGAATATGAAGTCGACATGGTGCATGCTATGTGCACTTGCCATATTGGCCTGAATGGTGCTCCATGCAAACATCAGTATGCTGTTATGAAGCATCGTAACATTCGATCGTTCAGCTTCATACCGATCAAAGATGAGAGGATTCGCATTCCATGCGTTGTTTGCTGTAAGGCATGTAAATCTAACCAGAATTCTATCCTATGTAACATCTGCCTGAATTGGTGCCACTTGAAATGTACTCAACTAACACACTCCGAATTTAACAGATTATCAGCTACTAATGACACTTTCCATTGCAATATTTGTCTTGAAAATATACTACCTTTCCAAAGGTTAGATAACGATGATCTGCTGAACTTATTCGACAATCATACATCTCTAATAAAATTACTCCAATTACCATCCCTAACTCAATCTCCAGCTCTCTGTGTATCAAGAGAAGATGAATTTGATCCAGACCAGTATCTATTACAAGGAACAAGTACCTATTATAAACATGAAAAATTTACTGACCTCACCAAGACTAAAGAAACTAAGGACCTTCTTATAATTCATGCCAACACCCGTAGTTTACCGAAAAACCTACACAAGCTTGATGACCTACTAATATCCCTGCCAACCCTATCAGATGTTATTGCAATTTCTGAAACTAAACTAAATGATCTAAGTACGTACAATACAAATATACACAATTATACATTCATATCCAGATGAGACGGGATACTAGAGAAGCGTTGCCGAAAGGAGGTGTTGATCCGAAGCGCTGAGCGCAGATCTTGCGCGCAGTTCCGCGGCAAGGCGCACGCGACCGCGGGAACGTCCTACGACAGTATGCAGCGCTGGCAGCTATGGATCCGTACGCCGAATGCATAGGCCGGCGCACGGATCCATAGCTGCCAGCGAACAGTCGAGAATTTTAGCGGGAATACAATGAAAGAGCTCAGCTGCATTCAGCTGCTGTTCTTTGGAAGTTCAATGGAAATATCAATGAAAGTGTCAACACCTTCTACTTCTACACTGTGTTGTAGAAGTTTTATTATGAGTTGTATTTTATTATGCGTCAGCGCCTTCATGTAACGAGCGGCAACTGCAGCGGATACATAAGCTGGGTTTTATAAATAATACATGCGGAAATAATATGCCTTTAACCAAATCGTTTTCGGATTAACCCCCCACGACCCGAATATCGTGACCGTACGTCGAGCGGTTAAGATTTGTGCCCAACTGTTGACGGACGGACGGACGGACGATCATGCGATTCTACAAGCTGCATCTGACTATGTCAGATGAGCTAAAGAGATTTTTCAAATAGACTCTGGAGCCAGCGTAAATGTGGTCCCCAGAGGAATGGTTTCTGATGCGGATATTGTCAGAGAGAGAATTATCTTGAAGATGTATAATGGCTCAACCCTCCCAGCTCTAGGGCGAGCCAAAATCAGAGTGAAGAATGACAAGACTGGCAAGAAGTACAAGGTACATTGCATTGTAGTCAGAGAAGATGGATTGACACCTCTTCTGAGTGGGCATGCAGCAGAACAGATGAAGCTTCTCACTGTCCACTATGAGAACTTTGAGACAGTGAACTTAGTGTACTCTCAAGATGTGATGGATGAATATCCTGAGGTGTTTAATATTCAACCTCTTTATGAAGCTTGCAAACTCTCTTGACGAGAACGGAGGTCCATTATCGCTTACCATCTCATCCGGGATTCCATACCTAGCGAAATGGTTGGTCAACTTGTTGATCAATATGAACTTAATATGAACAAGCGGCTAAAGTGCCATAAAACTTACACTATGCTTTAAAACGTCAGCTTGGAACTCATCAACACTGTACAACCCCTGTATCAACACAAAGTACCCCCAAACAAAATGCATTAATGCTGAATATTGAATGAAATGACCTTGGCAACTTGAAAGTCAAGCCCTAAGGTATTATAATATCATCATCTTCCCGCCTGGTGAGGAGCAGTGTGAGAGCATCCTCAGCACCATCGCCAGCAGAGTGGTTTTCAGCTGAGCGTCCCTGGCTCACTTTTGAGAAAGCACTCATTTGTTGACGTGCTGAGAGTGAGGCAATGCTGTCAAATATTGGCTAGCCCAGCATAACCCTCTGTAGTTCTAGCTGTAATTGAAATACACTATAAGTTTAAGTTGTCGTTAAACACACTCCTAGCACTCAGCTTT